TAGGTAAGCAACATGGCGTTAAAAGTTTACAGCTGGAATGTTAATGGGATGAACAGCAGGGGTAGGAGGAATAAAATTGAGCATATTCTAAAGAAAGAAGGCCTAGATATTATTTGCCTGCAGGAGACGCACATAGCGAGGAAGCATAAAAGAGTTCTGACTAACAAAAGACTGGGTAATGAATTTGTATCGTCAGATCGGAGTAAGAAAAGGGGGGTGGTCATCTATATTAATAAACAAATCGAAGCGAAACAATTATTCAAAGATGAAGAAGGAAGGATATCAGCAGTACAAATTAATTGGCAAGGGGAAAAGGTAATAGTAGTGGGGATATATGCGCCGAATGTCAATAAGTCAGAGTTTTTTAGGAGGTTAGAGGGGAAGTTATCTGATTATGTTGACCAGAAAATTATATTATTGGGGGACATGAACGGCGTGGTGTCGTTAGAGCTGGATAGGCTAAGGGAGACGAAAGGCATAGAAGGAAAGCTACCCAGAACCTTCTTCTCTTTGGTCCAAAACTGCAATTTAGTGGACATTTGGAGATTTAAATACCCCTTGGAAAAACAACACACTTATCATTCAGAACCCAATGATTCATTTTCAAGATTAGACCAGATATGGATTTCGGCAGAATTAACCCCAAGAGCTGCAAAGGTGGGGATCCAGGCCAAAACAATTTCCGACCATAACCCAATAAAAATGGAATTGAAAGGGCTGGAAAGAAGATTAAACAGATGGAAAATGAAAGATTATTTATTGGACGACCAAGAGATAGTAAAGAAAGCCCAAAACAGGTTAAAGGAATACTTTGAAGACAATCTAGGTAAAGGTACAAAACCAAAGGTGGTGTGGGATGCAGGCAAGGCGGTGATGCGGGGCTTCTTTATCCAACATAATGCAATTAAGAATAAAAAGAGAGAAAAAGGGAAAAAAGAAATTTTACAACAAATATTGGAGAATGAACAGAAATTAACTAAAAATCCCCAAAATAAGAATATAAAAGAGAACATTAAAGTTCTACAATCCCAGTACGCGATGTTGATAAATAGAGAGATAGAATGGAAAGTTAAAAAATTAAGACAAAGGAACTTCGAGTATGCCAATAAATCAGGGAAGCTATTAGCCTGGCAATTAAAAAAAAGGAAGGAGCAGAACACAATAAATAAAATTGAGGTGGAAGGAAAAGAGATAAGCAAGCCCAAAGAAATAAGGAAGGCCTTTTTGGATTTTTACAGAGGACTCTTCAAAAACACAGAAAGGAATAATATGAGAAAAATAGAGAGATATTTAAAAACTAAGAACATCAATAAGATCTCCACAGTAGAAAAAGAGAAGTTGAATGCCCTAATTGAGATAGAAGAAATCAAAGCAACAATTAAGAACTTAAAAAATGGGAAAGCCCCAGGCCCAGATGGGTTTACTGGTAGATACTATAAGGAGATGGAACCAGCTCTGTTGACCCCATTGCAAGAAGTAATGAATAACATCCTCAAAGAAAGAGAATTACCAGAGACGTGGAAGGAGGCACTGATCACATTAATTCCTAAACAAGACTCAGATTTACAGCAGATCAAAAACTACAGACCGATTTCTCTGTTAAATATAGACTACAAGATTTTTGCGGGAATCCTAGCAAAGAGATTAAAAGACATTCTGGTAGAAAGTATACACAAAGACCAAGCCGGCTTTTTGCTGGGTAGGCAAATGAAAGACAACACAAGAAATATAATAAACATCATAGAATACTTAACAGACAGGTGTGATAAACAAGGTTTGTTGTTATTCGTGGACGCCGAGAAAGCGTTTGATAATGTAATCTGGGACTTCCTGCTGAAACAATTGGAACATATGGAGGTGGGCACTGAATTTTATAATGGGATAAGAGCTATTTACACAGAACAGAGGGCAAGACTCATAATAAACAATGTAGAGACTGCAGAAATAATAGTAACGAAAGGAACAAGACAGGGATGCCCACTGTCCCCATTACTGTTTGTAATGGTGTTAGAGGTTTTACTTAACTCCATAAGAGACAACAAAAAAATAAAAGGTGTAAGGGTTGGTCAGAGCGAATATAAAATCAAGGCTTTCGCGGACGATCTGGTTGTAACAATGGAAGACCCATTAGACTCAATAAAAGAGGTACTTGAAGAATTTAACCAATTTGGTAAAATATCGGGCTTCAAACTTAACAAAAGGAAAACAAAAATGATAGTTAAGAATATGTACAAGGACAAAGTTGAAGAACTACAAAGAGAAATGGAATTAGAGGTGACTAAGAAGGTGAAATATCTAGGAGTATGGGTAACGCCAAAAAATATAGATTTATTCAAAAACAATTATGACACAGTATGGAAAGGAATTAAGAAAGATATAGAAACGTGGGGCAGGCTCAGATTGTCATTTTGGGGTAGAATAGCCACAATCAAAATGTCCGTACTTCCAAGAATATTGTTTCTTTTCCAAAATATCCCCGTGATCAAAGGTACAAGGATATTCAAAGTCTGGCATAGGGAGATCTCAAAATTTATCTGGCAGGGGAAGAAGCCCAGAATAAAATTTAAATTGTTGACGGATGTGAAGGAAAGGGGAGGCTTCGCCCTACCTGATCTGAAATTATACTACGAGGCATCATGCCTATGCTGGGTAAAGACATGGATCAATCTGGAGGATAGAGAAGTGCTGGACTTAGAAGGCCACGACAATCGATTCGGGTGGCACGCCTACTTGTGGCATGGGCGGAGGAGAATGCATAAGGAATTTGGAAATCACATATTTAGGGGCCCACTGATTGAGGTATGGGAAAGGTACAAAGACGTGCTAGAACCTAAAACACCCCACTGGCTGTCACCATTAGAAGTTATGTCTATTAAAAAGATCAATATGAGGGCCAACTGGGCCACATATGAACAACTGTTAATGAAAGAGGAAGGAAAGTGGAAAATGAGGCCGTACGAGCAGGTCAAGGACCAAGTTTATGATTGGCTCCACTACTTCCAGACAAATGATATGTTTAGGAAAGATATCAAAGATAAAGGATATGCAGATAAAAACTCTAGATTCCAAACTGAGATTTTGGAAAACAATACAAAAACTTTGTCTAAAATGTACAATCAGTTACTGGACTGGAATCTAATTGATGAGGAAGTCAAGTCGGTAATGACACATTGGGCCAAAGATCTTGGCCGTAACATCTATTTCGAAGAGTGGGAAAAACTATGGAAACAACATCTTAAGTTTACGGCTTGTGTGACACTTAAGGAGAATTTAATGAAAATGTTCTACCGTTGGTATATGACTCCTGTCAAATTAGCTAGAATGTACGGATCCTGTAATAAATGCTGGAAGTGCAAGGAAAGAGAGGGGACATTCTACCATATGTGGTGGGAATGCCAAAAGGTTAAAGGGTTCTGGGAGAGTGTGTATAATGAAATAAAGAAAATTTTAAGCTATACTTTTGTTAAGAAACCCGAGGCATTCCTGCTGGGATTGGTAGGAAGGGAGATAAAAAGAAAAGACTACAAGGTGTTCCAGTACGCAACAACGGCAGCAAGGGTCCTGTTAGCTAAAAGCTGGAAATTAGAGGGTTTGCCGACAATTGAGGATTGGAGATCAAAATTATTAGACTACGTGGAGATGGATAAGATGACAGGGAAAATTAGATATATAAAAGACCAGAGGTTTATAAAAGATTGGGAAAGTTTTGCGGAATATCTGGAAAACCTAAGCGATGGACAGATAACACTAGTGGGTTTTAAGGGAGCTCTGTAAGAAGCAAAGGGTACTGTCTAAAGGAAAGCAGAGGAACCAGAATGATCAACGGCACTACAAAATAAGAAATGCGGAATTACTGTTTTTTATCAATACGGATGATTTGTGGGAAGGTTGAAGGAAGTCACTTTTGTAAAATATGTGAACACTAAGTGGAATACTATAGTTTGTTCTGTATTTCGATTTATGTAAATCAATAAAAATTATGTATGAAAAAAAAAGAAAAAAATAGGTTAGACTGTTAAGATAAATTACCCAACAAAAGTTGAGAAAGATGGAAAGAATTTGCTGAAATAATTAACTAAACTAGAATACAAAAAGGGAGGTGTGAGGAGGTCGATGAAACAAGCAAATGAAAGATAAAGATATGGAATATTGGATGTGTGTGCTTTTCTTTTTTGTTGTTGTTGTATTGATTTTTAAGTATTTTTTTCTTTTTTATGTATTGTAATGTATGTTTTGTCAATTTTTTTGTTGTACTCTTTTCTTCTTTTTTCTGTAATCTTTAAACTTCTAATAAATATCATTTAAAAGACCAAAAGAGAGAGAGAGAGAGAGAAGTGAGATTGTGTATAACTGCCCCAACACCATCCTGAGCGTAATTCATCATGAAGGCACAATAAAAAGTCTGGAAGGTAAAAGTTAGGGTGGATGTGCTAGATAATGCCATCAGCTCTGTGGCTACTTTGAGATACTGTGAATTGATCTATTGGTTAAACGTTATGGTAATTTTATTTTTATATATTTTGTGTGAACCCAGCGTTTTGCTTACTATTTTTGCAGTAGGCAGATGCCAAAGAAACAGGTCACCATTTAGTTGAAAAAGCAGCATGTGATGGGAACTTATTCTGCAAGTCTCTTGCAGTTACGCAGTTTCTCCTCACATTTTAATGTTTCTGGTACTTTAACGCATTAAGAATTGGCAGGGTTGTTGTCTGTGAGTATCCATGTAGCCTGGTTCTTCCACTAATCCATTCATTTTCAAATGTGGTTTAATCAGTATGCTTGTTGATTTTCAGCGGAGAATATCACAAACAAAAGGTACCCAATTTAACTCAGACTGTTTTGCAGGGGAATTTCCAGCTTAAGAGGAAAGTCTGTATTTTGTTAACGTGAATGAACTAAACCATTCTTCTTTGTAGCTGAAATAAAGGGTGCTGTTCTTGTGTCTTTGTCCATAAAGCTAGCTGTGGCAACTCATACTGCATGTTTTCAATGTGTTTCAGACAAGCTTTATATGGGACCAGGGCAACTGTACCACGATTTGCAGAATCTATTACACGATTTGAATGTAGTTGGCCAAATCAGTCAACTAATAGGCAGTCTTAAAGGAAACTACCAGGTAATAATAGCTCATAAAAGATTGAGCTGATTCTCAGATATGCTTTCCTGTTAGCTAAAGAAGTTTTTGATCTGAAAGTGTGTGCCCAAGCACATATACTCTGTTCATGCCCTTAATTAATTGGTTTACCTTTAAATGTTTTAACTTCAGAGTTGTAAGTAGATTTTATATGCCTTACTGATCTAGTTTTACTTCGCTTCTCTGAAGTTTCTCACCTTTTGGTCTGATGTGGAAGCACACCAAACTGCAAGTTGCAATTTATTTATTTTTAGGAAATATTGCCATACAATGACGGTGCATGTCGGTGGATGTTATTGATAGTTAGTTGTTTAATAAAAACACTGTACTGTCTCACCACTTAAGCACTTAACCAAGACTGTTAAAATTTTTATTTGGTTTTCCTTTTGGCTGTTTGTTATACTTTGTGTATTTGTGAAAGCTCCCCTCAAACACAAATCACACATGATAGTGCCAGGTCAATGCCATCCCATTCAGGTCTGCCCTAATCACTTCTAAAATGGAAGGTGTAGTTTCAGTGTGGTACAAGGGAGTGTGGGTGGCTATACTCATTCAATCACCTTGCTGTCTCTCTTTCTCTGGAGACCCCAACCCCTAAATGCTTTGCTCTCAGCTTTTGCTACCTAGGTACTTGAGAGGGGGGGGAGGAAATATTTTTTCCATTGTAGATGCACTTAGGATTGTTGTCTTGGGGAAATAACTAATTAAGAGCCCCACATGTGTGTCTTTTCAAAAGAGTTCTGTTTGGGAGCTGGAGAAGTTGAAGGCAGAAAAGTAGGGAAGAGTGGCCTAAGACAGTTTCCTGCTCCAAATTGTGCTCCCTCCAAGTATATTTTCCTTAGGGGTGTTAATACTTAGGTTCTAACTAGGGACGCGGGTGGCGCTGTGGGTAAAAGCCTCAGCGCCTAGGGCTTGCCGATCAAAAGGTCGGCGGTTCGAATCCCCGCAGCGGGGTGCGCTCCCGTTGCTCGGTCCCAGCGCCTGCCAACCTAGCAGTTCGAAACCACCCCCGGGTGCAAGTAGATAAATAGGGACCGCTTACTAGCAGGAAGGTAAACGGCGTTCCGTGTGCTGCGCTGGCTTGCCAGATGCAGCTTTGTCACGCTGCCCACGTGACCCGGAAGTGTCTCCGGACAGCGCTGGCCCCCGGCCTCTTAAGTGAGATGGGTGCACAACCCCAGAGTCTGTCAAGACTGGCCTGTACGGGCAGGGGTACCTTTACCTTTAACTAGGCATTAACTTTTACTGCTTTTCTTGTGGCTCAGGCTGCTAGTGTCTATCATGCTGAGCTAGGGGTGCTAGTGGTAGAGAGAAACCGGAAGCATAAACTGAAAATAAACTTTGTGTTCTTCTTCTTTTCTTTCTCCCTTTCCATCAGAATTTAAATCAATCAGTGGCACATGACTGGACCTCAGGTTTGCAAAAGCTTATTTTGAAAAAAGAAGATGAAATCAGAGCTGCAGACCGCTGTAGGATTCAACTTCAGCTTCCAGGAAAGCAGGACAAGTTAGTAGTGATCTAGCACTGCTTGCAAGGGCATTGTTGCAGGGTAGCAATAGCTGCTGCCAAGCACCCAGACAGTGGGTTGTAGATCCTCCACCCAGAATGGGCACCGTGGGAGAGGGAGAGTGTTCTCTTCCTTCTGAAGGCTGCTCCAGAGTTGTGATGGAAGAAGCAAGATGCAGTTGGGTTGTGAAGGAAGTGCAGGTTCTGGTGGTAAGGGCGAGACCATGGCTGTGTACACGCATGGCAGTTAAAGTGGACTCGATGCATCCCATGTGTGCATGTTCTTCATGTCATCCATGTGACTTTGTCCTCATCCGAATGGCAGCCTGCACTCCGGTTTAATTCTGATTTTCCCTATCTGCGGGCAATGGGGTAGTGTTTAAAAATGTGCCACCATAAAATCTCATGTTACTCAACCGGGAGAATTATAACCTAGAAAGCCTTGTTTTCTTTCCACCAAGAGAATGGGTTGAAGCCCTTAGTAGTTGCTTTCTTTTTCTTTCCCCCCTAACAGATCAGGACGGCCTACTTTCTTTACAGCGGTGTTCAATACATTTACACCTGCCATCAAACAATCTTGGATCAATAATTTACAAATGGCTAAACTTGCTCTCGGTAAGATTGAGTTTTAGCATGCTCCAAGCAGCTGTATAATAAATAGTATATGTATGTTGGCTTCTGGTTAACTTCCAAATTAATATTTGCTAGAAGGTGGTAATTTGTGTCTTTTGAACTAGATATATATGTCCCTCTCCCCACATGTGCATGCACACAAACACACACAATTTTATGATTCCCACCCATTGTTCCCAATGGAAGGGAAATAAGCCATGCCAGGTCCAGGGCTTGGGTAGTTTTTCTGAGGACATGGTGGATGAACAGAAGAGTGGCTCCCCTTTGCCTCTGCCTATATTAAGGCATGGGCTTCAGAGGTTCCCATGGTAACTGAGGCCTTCACAAGCCTGAATCTGCCTCCTGAGGCTGGACTTTTCTACCCTCAGGAAGGGAGAGATCTGAAACATATGATAGGCCCTTGATATCTTTCCATGAACCGCAGTATTTCAGCCCAAGCATTTTACCCTTTTAATGATTTTAACACATTCAATTTGTCAAGCACTACAAAATTAACCCAGAGGTGATGTAGATTTTAGCCAAATACACATATGAAGCTAAAGATGACTGGAAATGTCATTATTATTGCATTATTATTATTATTATTATTATTATTATTATTATTATTATTATTATTTTATTTTACTAGTGAACTGCAACACTTTTGTAATTCAATCCACCAATTCTTTTAAATTTTCCATGGCGTGGGGGTAGTTATATGTTATATGTGATCGTGCGTGCTTCCTCACTAACACAAGGCTAACCTGTCATTCTGTATTTGATCATTTCTGCCCATTTAACTCCTACTGGTTGGACTCTCTGGCTTTACAGGTTTCTGAAAATATCTCCTGGTACCCTTGCTAACCCTTTAAACCAAGAGATGAGGGACATGTAGCTCCCTCCAGACAGAGTTGAGTGATGAATCCCATCATCCCTGACATTGCCCATTGGCCATGTTGCCTTCACTCCCATCAGCCCTGACCAGCAATTTCTGGAAGGCTACAGCTTCCCTACCCCTATTAAAAACCCTTTGTCATTTGGATAACTAGTGTCACCCTAATGAAACAATGCAACCTGGGACATGCCACCATGTTTATCTCAGCATTCGGGGCCTCCTGTCTGTCAGTATGTGTAAATCATTTTTTTAAAAAACAAACCCTGATAGGTTTTTTTATCACCTTGTCCATAGACATTGGTTTTAGATAAGCTTTACATACCGGACTAGTTTACTAAATAAAAAGGTGTTGATCTCTCCCCTCCCCCCCCAATCTTCGTTTTGCCATTATAGCTGAGGAGAATCTGCTGGGCTGGTTTTGCATAGATGATGATGGGAATCAGATAAAAAAAGAGAAGCATCCACTGCTTGTGAAGCACATGCCTGTGATGATGGCCAAACAACAGGAGTTTAAGGTGAGTCATCTTTGTTTGCTAAGGAGATAATATGTTGACTGAAGCATCCATAGGCATGATCTACCTTTTGCTTTTATGGGCATGGGCTAACATGTTTCTCACTGAGGTGAAGTGAAAATAGCTCAGTTGAATTACCATGTGACATGTTCCATTTTTGAGCCTACATAATGTTATAGAGTTCATATGCCAAGAGCTTAAAGGTAAAGGTAAAGGTACCCCTGCCCGTACGGGCCAGTCTTGCCAGACTCTAGGGTTGTGCGCTCATCTCACTCTATAGGCCGGGAGCCAGCGCTGTCCGCAGACACTTCCAGGTCACATGGCCAGCGTGACAAGCTGCATCTGGCAAGCCAGCGCAGCACACAGAACGCCGTTTACCTTCCCGCTGGTAAGCGGTCCCTATTTATCTACTTGCACCCGGGGGTGCTTTCGAACTGCTAGGTTGGCAGGCGCTGGGACCGAGCAACGGGAGCGCACCCCGCCGCAGGGATTCGAACCGCCGACCATGCGATTGGCAAGTCCTAGGCGCTGAGGTTTTACCCACAGCGCCACCCGCGTCCCTTGCCAAGAGCTTATGCCTCTTTAATTCTCACTCATTTACTCTTCTGTGTACGCTGCTCCTGTCTGTCACTATTTTATAGGCACCTGACATATAGATATGAAACAGAAGAAATATGGACCACACTTTGAAGAAATCCAAGGCTGTTTTTAGACAGCACTTTATGCTGTTTTCATGACATTTCCATGCTTTATATTATCTTTCATATGACATAAAAGCCGATTCTGGAAAACTAGTGGAAGTTTAGCTCTCATTTCCATGTTATTTCAGAAAAAAATCTGTTTGCAACCCTATAAACCTAAAAGGTCACAGAAAGTTTGCATTGTAACTTCCCATGATGAAATTTCAGGTGTTATTCGAGCATGCAGTTCTTACCCAACCATTTAAAATTTAAGTGTGACATGGTGGTATATCGATGAAAAGGCCACAGTTCCATAATGCAGCAGGCAACACAGTGTAAAAGGAAGATTAGCATCTGAGATAGAAGCAGTGGCATTATAATCAGGAAAAGGAACACGATAATCTCCATGTCTGAATGCACCCCAGCTCATTTTAAGCCACGTCTGCTTATTCTTGCAGGTTATTTTAGAATGTTGTATTATTTTATTGTTAGCCGCCCTGAGCCCGGCTTCGGCTGGGGAGGGCGGGATATAAATAAAAATATATTATTATTATTATTATTATTATTATTATTATTATTAGGTTCAAGTATCTTGCATGCTAAATGGGCCATGTCACATACAAATAAAATGTATTGTTTTACTGCTCTGCAAGAAAGCCCATTGCATTGATGTGCTGCTGCCACCAAATTTCAGACTTATTTTGACACTAAGAAGACTAGGTAACTTGACTAACAAATTTTTAATGTGTTTTAAGGTGGAATGTGCTGTTTACAATCCTGAACCATACTCAGGGGAGGAAACGGATCCAGATTCTCTCGCTGTAGAGCATGGTTTTCTGTGGGTAAGTTCTTGAAAGGCCCAATGATGGGGGTTGGGGGACAAGAATATTTGTTTATTTCAGTAGTTATGCCAGGTTTTGTAACTAAGGAAGTTGATCATAATTAGGCCAAGCTAGATGAGACGCTGGGAGTTTATTGATCAAATCTTCTGCTTTTTTAAGATCAAAGCAGTCATGGAAAGAAGGATTAGCCTGTGAATTAGCTGGAGGAAGAGTTGTTTGATCCTGTTTGCCTGGGCTATTTTCCTGATTAACACACAAACACCAGAGTTTTTCTTGGTCCTGTGAGGCAGATCATACTATAAGTTTTTTACTTTGAGGAACAAGGCTGGGGGAAATGGCATAAGGTGGGAAAGTTTTATACACCCGCTCCACCAGTCCAATTTTTATCTCTCCCACATACACCACTGCTGCTTTAAACTGAAAAAAGAAGCCTGTGATTTTTCAGCATCTTGTCTACCTACTTGCTAATTAACAGTTCAAGAAAACATTTAGTTATTGGGTTTTCTGGCTCTTCTAAACTCTGGCAGCAGAGTGGCTTGTGGCCTTGAGGAGCAGTGAATTCATGCCAGTCTCCATTTACTCTCAAAACTTTGTCCTCCAAAGTTTGTTCAAGTTTGAGCTTTTGGTGACTGGAAGGACTGAAGAGGAGCAACTTTCCAAAGCAGAAATGATCATGGGCACATGTCTTGGTCATTCAGTATGTATTTGTATGTTTTGGTAGGGTCAGTGTGGGAAGATGCTTAAGGCACTTCTCTCAAAACCTGCTCATCCTTAGTGCTGTTTATTTGCAGTGACTAGAGATGGAGGAGAAATTTGGTTCAGTGCACCAAATTTGCGCTTTCTGAAACGGTATGCAAACTGAAAACACAGCTATCCTTCAAAATTCTCACTACTCTGAATTTTGCAATTCAGTTCTCCAGCTACAATTTACAAAATTGCACATATTGGGGATAAATTTGCATTAAAATGAAGATAGTGAAAATAACATACAAGTATGCATTATATTAGGGGAAGTCACTTGAAACAATGTGCACATTAGAAAAAACTGCATGTGAAATGTGGTAGAAGAAATTTGCACTAAAATGCTGATGAATTTCCTTGATGGCTTTTTTTAAATAAACAAATAAATTTGCAGATTACTGCAGAATGTGGAGAACTGAATTTAAGATGGAAAAATGAGAACCGATACTGACAGATCCTTTCATCCCTAGCAGCAGCTTATAGCCAACATAACTTATAATAAAATTATTTTTAGATACAGAAACTTAAAAAAATAAAGGTTCTAAGTATCACTCAGTGTAGATTTATTTGTACAAACAAGATCTTAAAAGCCATATAGCACCCTTCAAGAACAACTACAATAGACAATCTCAGCTCCCAGTTCATCTGTTATGAATAAAACTGAATTCCCCCTTCCTGTCCTCAGTATTTTCTTTCTCTCTCTCTCTTAAAGCCTTGAGTTGCCAGAAAAACTTCATTTCACTGCTGAAACCTTGACGAAGCTTTCTTTAATTAGTTTCGCCCTGCATGCATTTTTTGTTAACAGGGATCTTGCTTACAAAATACAATCATCTTTTCTTCCAAATTCAGATTGGCAGTTGTACTAACCAAATGGGCCAAATTGCCATCGTATCATTCCAAAACTCCAGTCCAAAAGTTATTGAATGTTTCAATGTGGAATCGCGGATTCTCTGCATGGTCTACATTCCAGAAGACGAGAAACGCAAAGCATCAAATATGCCTTCTGAGCCGGAAGATACGCCGACGAAGCCCTCCAGTGTGCCTACTATTTGCCTTGGCATGGAAGAAGGAAGGTGGTTTTCAGTGTTTTTAGTTCAGTGATTTGCATGCTTTATTTAATGTCCTATTGTCTTACAGTAGAAGGTGTGTGTGTAGTTTGCGTTGTGTTTTGACTAATCTAAAGCCAAGTGGCGTATTATAGAATTCACCAGCCTGCCTTGCTCCATGTCACTATAGTCTGTTCATCTTGTAACATCTATATAAATAATAGGAGGCATGAGACTATTGCACTGTTTTCCTGTCCACAAATGTCATGAATTCAGGTGGGGAGATGCATAGCCCAGTTGTGTCACGTTACATATTTATATTAGATGTCTAGTTTTGCTGTTCAATACATTTTCTTTTTAATTTTTCTAAGAGTTGCCAGGATATAATAATAATAATAATAATAATAATAATAATAATAATAATAATTATTTATGTATACCCTGCCCTCCCCAGCCACAGCCAGGCTCAGGGTGGCTAACACCAGTAAAAATTACAGTAAAAACATAATGGGGGGGCCAATTTAAGATACAGGTTAAAATGCAATTTCAATACAGCCTCATTTTAAAAGTAGCCCATAGATCACATAAGGGGAGGGAAACATAAGTGTCAGACTGAGTCCAAACCAAAGGCCAGGTGGAACAGCTCTGTCTTGCAGGCCATGAATATAAACCTGTATTAAAACATGTTTTCTCCCCTTGTTTCTTAATAGCATCTCTGTTTACAAAAGTAGCCAAGGCTCAAAGAAGGTGCGACTTCAGCATTTCTTTGCTCCTGAGAAATCTACTGTCATGAGCCTCGTGTACAAGAGTCACCATTTGTTTGCTGGGCTTGTCAATGGTAACATTGCCATCTACACAAAGCTGGAAGGTACAGAAATGATATCTAATGCCTTGAACGCCTTTGGAATCTTTTGCCAAAATCAGGATTTCATTGTTTTGTTTTTCCTTTTGCTGAATATGTACTTGGAGCAATTTGAGCTGTCATTAAAAATAAAAATAAGTGTGTGGCTATAGCCTATCAGCAGATTGGATGCTGTGATGTGCTGGAACCTCTAAGTGGCTTGTCAATTGCTGCCACGTATTCTTCCTTCTGTTAAGGAACGAGAAGAGAGGCTGTTGCAGGATTCCAGGAGGAGGCAGTGGAAGCGGGAGCAAAGGGTCGGCAAAGTGACCTGTGATGGTCCTTTCCTTGGCTGTTCTCTTGGCTTGCTTGCTTGCCCTACACTGCCACTACCACCCTGCTTTTTATGGCTTAGTAGATAAATAGGTACCGCTCCGGCGGGAAGGTAAACGGTGTTTCCGTGCACTGCTCTGGTTCATCAGAAGTGGCTTAGTCATGCTGGCCACATGACCTGGAAGCTGTACGCCAGCTCCCTCGGCCAGTAAAGCGAGATGAGCGGTGCAACCCCAGAGTCAGCCACAACTGGACCTAATGGTCAGGGGTCCCTTTGCCTTTACCTTTACTGGAAAGGAAGCACCCCACAGCCCAGCTTCAGGCCAGATTTAGGTTTGATGAGGCCCTAAGGTAATGGGGCCCTTTATATGTCCAGCAGTCCTTTGTCAACAACAAATTGTCACTGTTTTTCGTGTTGAATACATGCTATATAGTAATTTATGGACCTAATAGGTATCGAAAGCCATTTGCAAATGCAGAATGTAGGCACCCTGTATACAGAAATGAGCAAACCAGTGATATTTTAGGGAACAGGCTAGCAGGCAGGGCCCATTACTTACATCACAGGAGCCTACACAACACAATACTCTGTTGCTGTATGTAGGTTTTATTTTATTTGTTTTTTATCTTACATTTTGGAAATGTACATCCTGGAATTTTTTCCCTTTAAATTTTATGGGGGCCCCCAAAAGAGTGGGGCCCTAAGCTATAGCTTGTTTAGCTTATACATAAATCCGGCACTGCAAAGCATCAAATACAAAAGTTATGGCTGTAGAGTGCCCCATTGTCCAACAGGAAGAGTTGGCAGCAACAGAACTGCTGGCCTCTGGCTGTAGCACATGCCCTGGAATGATTTGCTGGAATGCTACAGCTATGCATATATTAAGCAGAGAGCTCCAAGTGCATCCCTTGCAGTGGCAGCCTCTCTTTAATATTTGTAGGCCTCTCTGACTTAGGTTGCTCTCTCTTCCTTTAAAATCTGCTGTGCTTATGGCACATTATGACACATTATGAAGAAATAATTTATCTGGGCTTTAGCCAAACATTAACTCTCTGCCCAACTATCTTGACAAGAACAAGCAACAATTTTTCCATGTTCAATGCAGAAATGACAGTGAAGGGGGAAAGTATTTGATCCCCTGCTAACAACAGGAACCCCCCCCCCCGAAACCTAGAAGACAAAAGTCAGAGATTGATGTGCATGTTTTATTCTGTCTCTCACAGCTACAATAAACCTACCATTAAAATTATGGACTGGTCATTTCTTCGTCAGAGGGCAAATGGGCAAAGTTAGCAGGGGATCAAATACTTTCCCCCCCTCACTGTATGCTTGTTATGCAACTGACACTCAGAAGTTAAGTCTAAAAGTAAAGGGGCCCCTATGTTTGATCCTGGAGTATTGATCTCACCATCTTTCTAAAGCCCTGCTTCTGTTCATCAGAGGCTTTGGCACTCAACATAGGGGGGGAAATTCTGCCCCAAGTTGAAAAATTAAATCTATGGAACCTTTTCAAAGGCAAACATTTTCTTTCATTGAAACCTCATTTTATATACCAAAAAAAATCATGTCTTTTTTCCAGTTTTCTAGAATGTTCCTACTAAAGGGTTATGATCCCAAAAAGTGTAGATGCGAACACATGCAGCCAAACATCCTTTGATAACTATTAAGCAGCTAAGCCTATTCAAGAGACAAGTCGCTAAATAGTGGATTGTTTCTTCTGCAGTGGGAACTTAGTGAAAAGCTCGTGGAAAGTTTTAGCTATACAACTGCTTCATAGGTGAAAACACAAATCAGTTCCAGCCATTGGTGCATGTTTTAAATCTCACTGCCCTGGCATTTAAAAAAATGTGGTCAGTAGTCACTATTCATGACAATGAGATGTACAAATGTTTATGGTTCATTGCACAACTCAATTAACAAGTCCTATTTGTGGGGTTGTTTTGGCAGTTCCTTTGAAATACCAGTGGTGGAGCTTGTGAGGAAAAGAGGGAAGCTATCAAACCAAAAGATGAATGTTAGTTTTAGCTAAATCAAAGCAGAAACGAGGCAAACTGGCAAGGGAAGGGGACGCATCATATTTAATTAAACCTAGTATATGACAAAAAAATCATGAATGAATGTCAAAGAATTAACCTATATATTATTCGAGCCCCTTTTTTTCCTTGCCAGCTGTGAGTGTTTCGCAAAAAGAGCTGCCAAATGTTCAAAGGAAGGAAGGCCAATTAGTGGAGCAGTGCCATTCTCTAGAAAACCGAACATTAGGATTAGAGCTCCGGTGCACAGCAACAACTTGGGTATTTTCTTGTGATGCAAAGGCCCTTCTCTCTTTCTCCCACCCCTAGTGATTTCCGGGAGGAAATGCTCTCATGTTGCTTCCATCTTGACTTGGGTCCTACAATAGACCTTTCCCCCCCGGAATTCAAAGACCAGTATTGCAGTGGTTCCCAAACTCCACCCCGCTATTGGTGCAGTTGAAAACTGCTGAGAGTCTTAGCGAACCACTTAATAATGAGCTTTTCGGCCTGTTGTAGCAATTGCAGTGTGTTGTATGTAGAGCACTGTTTGAGAGGATTATAACACAGCTGGTTTGCATGCAAATGGTTCAATCCCCAGTATCTCCAAGTATGGGGAGAGAGATTGCCTGCCTGAAACCATGGGGAGCAACTGCCAGTCAGTGCAGACAATGCTAAGCTTAATAATAATAATAATAATAATAAATTTATTATTTATACCCCGCTCGTCTGGCTGGGTTTCCCCAGACACTCTGGGCGGCTTCCAACAAAACACTAAAATACAGTAACCTATTAAACATTAAAAGCTTCCCTAAATAGGGCTGCCTTCAGATGTCTTCTAAAAGTTTGGTAGTTATTTTTCTCTTTGACATCTGGTGGGAGGGCGTTCCACAGGGCGGGCGCCACTACCAAGAAGGCCCTCTGCCTGGTTTCCTGTAACTTGGCTTCTCGCAGTGAGGGAACCGCCAGAAGGCCCTCAGCACTGGACCTCAGTGTCTGGGCAGAATGATGGAGGTGGAAATGCTCCTTCAGGTATACTCGACTAAGGCCGTTTAGGGCTTTAAAGGTCAGCAACAACACTTTGAATTGTGCTCAGAAACGTACTGGGAGCCAGTGTAGGTCTTTCAAGACCGGTGTTATATGGTCTCGACGGCCACTCCCAGTCACCAGTCTAGCTGCCGCATTCTGGATTAGTTGTAGTTTCCGGGTCACCTTCAAAGGTAGCCCCACATACAGCGCATTGCAGTAGTCCAAGCGAGAGATAACCAGAGCATGCACCACTCTGGCGAGACAGTCCGTGGGCAGGTAGGGTCTCAGCCTACGTACCAGATGGAGCTGATAAACAGCTGCCCTGGACACAGAATTGACCTGTGGCTCCATGGACAGCTGTGAGTCCAGAATGACTCCGAGGCTGCGACCTGGTCCTTCAGGGGCACAGTTACCCCATTCAGTACCAGGGAATCCTCCACACCTGCCTGCCTACTGTCCCCCAAAAACAGTACTTCTGTCTTGTCAGGATTCAACCTCAATCTGTTAGCCGCCATCCATCCTCCAACTGCCTCCAGACACTCACACAAGACCTTCACCGCCTTCACTGGTTCCGATTTGAAAGAGAGGTAGAGCTGGGTGTCATCCGCATACTGATGAACACCCAGCCCAAACCCCCTGATGATCTCTCACAGTGGCTGCATGTAGATGTTGAAAAGCATGGGGGAGAGGACATACCCCTGAGGCACCCCACAAGTGAGAGCCCAGGGGTCTGAACACTCATCCCCCACTACCACTTTCTGAACACGGCCCAGGAGGAAGGAGTGGAACCACTGTATGACAGTGCCCCCAATGATCTGACTCAGCATAAGGGAGCTTCCTGTGTTCCTTGCATGGTATTGCCATTGTTGTCTGTGGCACGATGCCTTCGAGTTTTTGGTTTTTTCCCCCTCCTGCTCAGCTGTGGTCTTTGGTCAAAGAGGTTTTTGAAGCAGTACAAAAACCTCACAAAACTCGTTTGAATAGAGGCTACAGCAGGACAGGGGAAAGAAAAGAATAGAATGCATTCTGGGCAAGGAGGACTGCATCATATTATATATGAAAATAGATTGCCTCATGATCTCCCTGGGCATCCACTGACAGCCGCTTTTGTCTCTCTCTCTTGTCTCTTCTTCCTAAAGATGGAAGTTGGAACTCAGAACCTCAGAAAGTAGTAAAGTTGGGTGTCCTTCCAGTAAGAAGTCTCCTTGTCATGGAAGAAACCATCTGGGCTGCTTCTGGCGGACAAATTTTTATAATCAGTACCGAAACTCATACTGTAGAGGTAAACAAAACAAAACAAAACCCTTCCAATTATGCCTTTTTTAAAAAAATGTTTCATATAGCCCTGTTTTCTACATGAACTGTGTACATTTCATTTCAGGTCAGCTTAACACCTGCAGAAAATATGGTGATCTGGTTTGTTCTCACCTCATCATAGCTCAGGCTATAAATGAGTCATTGCGCTTTAAGGGTGTCCAAGCAGAAAGCTTATTATGCTTGCTGTTCCTCCTGACAACAGTCTAAACACTTAGGGAACAGAGACAAGTGAGCTGGGTGCCAGCATGAACCATCCATGATTAAAGTACGGCTCCCATGTCTATCCTTCTTTGAATTTTGCACTTCTCACCTGCTGAGTGTGGATGAAGCACTAGCCATTAGCTTTTTGTTAGTGGCCACTCCACAGTTTGTCATCTTTGTATTTGGTACCTCTGTTGTCTTTGCCAAACCATAGCCCTGCTTTGGAGAACTCACCCTCTACCCCGGCCATCAGATACCTCAGGGGTTTTTTTAAAGCAAAGCTATGGCCTGTTTTTCAAACAACTTCAAATCCAGTAGAAATCTCTACTCTTCCTTTTTTTTTCCCCTGACAGTTTTAGATATGGCATTAAAACCACTTGACATGTGTATGCTGTCCCTTCTGTCTTAACATTAAAAAATTCAAGCTTCAATCATACTCGCAGGGTGTTGGGAAGAACAGGAGGACAATATTATTAATATACAAAGAGTATTCTGGCTGGAGGTCCAGAACCCAACTGTGGCCTCAGCCCAGCACTCTTGAGAATAGGGAAGAGAAGTATGTAAAGCAGAAGTCGATTGAGGCTGACAACTGCTGTCCTCGGCTGCCCACCTCTCTGTGAGCTGCTAACCCTTTCCATTCACCAGACCACTTCAGGTGCCAGCATCCTTGCCTGATGCCAAAGCACCCATCAATCAAATATGGCACGCATTGCCCCTGACAACATGCACACTCAAGATCAATTGCCAGTTAATAATATTGACAAAAGACTGCCTTCCCGGACTGCAGCCCAGCCACTCTTGTGTCCATAATAAATGCTGCTTAATGTCTTTCTCACATGTTAAATATTTTCAAGGCAAAAGAACAAACTGAGATGCAGAGCCATCTCTGTGGCTTCCTACCCATTGTTCATTCCTTGCTGTGTGTTTAGGACACTTGGAAGCCTCCCTTTGGAAGTCTCATCACAAGCTGAACTTAAATGAAGCTTTTTGGTCTAAGCTCTCATGGAAGCTGTATGCCAGTTTATAACACTGTGGTTATAATGTGTGTGTTTATGTGTTTTATTTAGCAATTGCAGATCTGGCCACCCTACCCCGCCCCAGTATGTTGTAGCTCTCATAAGGGTATCTAAGTTATAGGGAATCTACAAGAGAGGGAATCCTCATTTTTCTTTTCTGCAAACAAAGGCACTGTAATTCAAATGAGCTTGCAAGGGTGGCTCATAAGAAACCACGGACACAAATATTCTGGCTGGAGTAGGAAGAAGCAAGCCCAGCTGCCCTGAACATGATAACACTTTGCTGTTTCTCGGACAGGGCAAACATCCACCTCCATTTTTGTGATTGCTGCAGAACCTTCACCAGTACCAGCTCCCAATGTCAATCTAGAAGTTATGGTAGTGCCCTAGCCAGAACCGGGGTCCAGGACTTATTCCTAGATGTTGCTATGCAAGCAGAGCAGTGCATAGAATTAGGGTGCTACTACTGTTGCATTATTGAAATTCTATCAATTGTGAAGTGTTTGCCCTTCCAAAAGATGATGATGATGATACCCCACCCATCTGGCTGGGTTTCCCCAGCCACTCTGGGGGGCTCCCAACAGAATATTAAAAACACAATAAAACATCAAACATTAAAAACTTCCCTTCATATATCTTCTAAAAGTCAGATAGTTGTTTATTTCCTTGACATCTGATGGGAGGGAAACCACTCGGCACCACTACCGAGAAGGCCCTCTGCCTGGTTCCCTGCAACCTCACTTCTTGCAGTGAGGGAACTGCCAGAAGGCCCTCAGTTCTAGACCTCAGTGTCCGGGCAGAACGATGGGGGTGGAGTCTCTCCTTCAGGTATACTGGGCTGAGGCCATTTAGGGCTTTAAAGGTCAGCACCAACACTTTGAATTGTGTTCAGAAACATACTGGGAGCCAATGAAGGTCTTTCAGGACCCGTGTTATATGGTCTCGGCGGCCACTCCCAGTCACCAGGCTAGCTGCCGCAAAAGAGAGTTGCTTAATAACTAGCGGATTTCACAAAAGCATTATTGGATTTTAGGGTGCCTTTGATTACTTGCCTCTCATGCATGTTTGGCAAGGCTGCTTTCCCGCTTAACAAGCTGCTACTTCAGAATTGTCTCAGGTCCCGTCTCATAGGTGTCTGGTGCACAGAAAGCTCAGTGTTCGTGAAACGGATCTTCCTTTCAGTGTTCAGGGGAGAAAAGTGTCTCGGCGGAGATGTAAAACAATCCTACTGTTCAGTGTTTTTTGTGTGGATGAAATACATGACAACTTCATTTTAAAAACAAACAAAGCCATCTGAAACGCGCTAGATAAACAAGAAATACCCTGTGTTCCTTGGTAGGATGCCTAAATGCTGCTCTTTCTCTCTTTCTCCCGAGTAGTTAAAAGTCAGTCACTTCTCCTGAACAATGGTGCCCATTATACAGAACTTGCTATGCCTGAGAAAGCACAGTTCAGTTTTTGGCACAGCTCTTTGGGCCTGAATCACAAAAGAGTTTGTACTGGGTGTAAGTGGGGGGGGGGGGGGAGAGAGAGAGAGAGAGAGAGAGAGAAAGATGCAAACTATGTGATGTGCTGTTGTAACAGTGGTCGGCCATTGCAGGCACCACTATGTTGAAAGATTTGGCTGTGACTCCGAAAAATGTGTGATGGAGATCTAGCGTTGCCATAGAGTTGGAGCTTGAGAAAAGAAATACAGGCCTCCTTTGGAGAGGAGGAAATTGAAGATGCAATGGATTGCTGAGACCACCGGAAGAATGCTAGGGTGGATTCATTTTGCTGAGAGTAGCAACGACTGCAATGCATTTTATTTTTCCCCCATTAGAGAGATGGGAAAATGGTTGGAGGGCAATTGCTGGACATGTGCATGTTCTCTTCTTTCTCTTCTGGAAGAGGACCGTCTGTAGAGCATGAGACTCATAATCTCAGGGTTGTGGATTCGAGCCACATGCTTGGCAAAGGATTTGTGCATTACAGGGGACTGGGCTGGATGGCTCTCGGGGTCTCTTCCAGATCTATTATTCTACGAATCCCAATGCGTAGCAAACCATAGTACAGTGGCACCTTGGTTTACAACCATAATCCATTCCGGAGGTTCGGTTGTAAACCAAAACAGGTTGTAACCCAAGGCGCGCTTTTGCCAATGGGGCCTCCCCCCCCCCAAATTGGTTGTAATCGAAAAAAAGGACAGCGCACTTCCGGGTTTGACGTGGTTGTAATCCAAAACAGTTGCAAACCAAGGTACCACTGTACTGAATTGCACTTCTTGTTGTTTTTCCCCTGACAGAGGAAACAGGAGGGCACTATGGTAACTTTGGGTGTCTTTGCTCTGAAAAGAGAAAGAGAGCACAACTTTACACGCAGAAGTAATGGCAAAATGGAAGAGAGAGAGAGACTGGAAAGAGTTTGGGTGACTGACACTAATTTGCAAGGCTGGTCTTCAAGGGGGATACCCATTTTTTCTCCAATCAGACTGCTTTTGGCACAGCTTTTAGTTAGTTGCTGTTTGTTTTGTTTTGTTTGTTTTTATTTTTAAATGACTACTACTATTTGGTAATGTAGTAATGATACTCTTTTGGTTCTGAGCTCCCTGTTCCAGTAATTGCACAGACAGGTTTTGGATCGCAGCCTTTGTATGTTACAGCTTCTTGCAAGTAATAAAATGTATCTAGCCAGAAAAAAACAGACTTTCATGTGTTAGGAATACAGTGTCAGTATATGGATGAAGATAGTCTTTTGTTTCTTTGTTTTTACACGCAACTAAATATGTATTAATGTCACAGTAGAATCAACTACTACTCCAACATTTCTCCAATGAAAATAGGGACATCCCATTCCATAACGATAATTTTACTATTTATACCCCACACACTGGGTTGCCCCAGCCACTCTCGGCAGCTTCCAACATATATAAAAACATAATAAAACATGTTTTAAAACTTCCCTATACAGGATTGCCTTCAGGCAGCTCAGGGGTCAGATAACTCCATCCCCTCCAACATTTCTCCAATGAAAATAGGGACATCCTAAGGAAAAGGGGGACATTCCAGGATCATATCAGAAACCAGGATGGCTTCTCTAGATCAGGGATGTCCCAGGAAAATAGGTACACTTGGAGGGTCTGCTACTGTCATTTGCTTTGTGAGATAACCCTTGAAGGCCAATACAGTAGAATATTCCCACAGTTATCTGCCTCAGAGATACTATGAGGTAGGAATGCATTAAACCTGTTTTGCAGCAGTTGTACTAGCTGCCTGTCAGCTTCTGGGCCACATAGAAACATACACACACCTTGGAGACCCATGTTCTCTGTATGAGCAATCACTGTTTAACTGACGGTCTTGCTCTGCAACAGGAGGCCACCAGGTGCAAGGAACAGGGCTTAGCTCTACAGCATTGGAGCAATAACAGTACTCTTCTCAGTGAGCCCACAGCTGCTTCCTTCTGCGTACAATATAAAATCTTCCCATTTCTAAAGGCACTTGATTGTTGGGTTTTAATTCTTTGATTTGCATTTGCAGGTTTTTCATTGCTTATTTTGCGTTAATACGTTTTATCTTGAGTTAATGTTTTAAAGGAATCTGCTCTGAGTAAAGGAAAAGTACATTGCACCCTTTAAAATAAATATATTTTCAATGCCTACTTTCAATGTCTACTTTCAGCTGCTTTCATAGTTAGCGTTTTGTGTGTGTACTTTTGAGTTTGTCAGTACTTATTTCTCAGTAGATATGCGTAGGGAATGCACTGCAAATAGCACTGAGTTCAGTGGGACTTCCAAGTGTGTAAGATTGCAGATTTAATGTGTTAGTAAAAACAGCCTACTTGGCTTTGAGTTTTATTTATGTGTTCCCATTTTATTTTGATCAGTTTCATGGCTGTTACTTTTTAAAAACCTACGAAGCACAGCATGCGAGTAATATAAAACTTTTAAATTAGTGTTGCATTTACTTGATTCTCTTCTGAGTATTTTTATCTTCTTTTCAAAGAGGCACCTAGCAACTTCTTTCCTCCTCCTCCCACTGGAAAATCAGCTTTGAAATTACTAATATTCATAATGTTCTCTAATCTATCTTAATCATAAAGAAAGCAATAGTGCTGCATGGTGTCACATAATGATATGTATCACAGCAACCAATGATCCTCAAATAACTCACTTGGAAAGATTTGATTTATTCCTAATATCATTTGTATTTTTTCTTGTACAGCTCAATTTTTCACCCACCTTTTAACACAGAGTTCAGTAAAAAAAAAATGCTGTATATAATTGCCTTTTGTAACTTTAGATTTAAAAACAGAATATTTTGGTTACTGACTGAACTGAGCTTTCTCATGATTGATGTGAGTCAATTGATTTGACAAAATTAACACAGTCTTTCTTGGCCATATATTCCCTCCCTCCCCTTCCCAGTCTTGTTCTTTCCTTGAGTAATGCCATCTGTTCCCATATATTTGAAGGAGAGGATTCAGAGCTGTGTTTTTGCAGAATAATATAACTGGAACTGTCACAATTTATCCTTTTATCAAGAGGCATCTGCAGCATAAGCTATTTTGCTTATCCGAATGAGTTCAGAATATCTTCAAACAGAACATATTACATGAAGATATTTGAACCGATATGTCAACATTCCTTGTTTAGGGTGGGCTGAAATCTGTGAAGTTTAATGGAACAAGGCTATTCTCCATATAACTTGTTAAAATCCCTAGGGTGAACAGAGTTCTGATCCATCATTGCTCCAGGATTCTGTCATCCAATTGGTTCCACTCTGGTTAAATTTTGAGGAAATCTGGATTTTCGAATGCCAGAGTGAACAACAGTCGGTTATTGTGGGTGTAAAGGAGAAGACCTATTCTGTAAAGGCCCCATCACTCTGGGACACATTACCAACTGTTCTCTGACAAGTCCCACTCCTTGAAGGCCTACTCCCCCCCCCCCCGATTACTCTTTTCCTTCTATTGTTGAGTTTGGTGATTGATATGTTCTGTGGGTTGTAGCTGTGTCACTCAGCTGGTGACAAGGCTTCTGCCAATCGAACAGGGAGGCAAACGGTTTTTAGCACCCCTCTCAAATCTGCTGCCCCCTACTGCCCAAAAACTCCTGCTCGCAGGGCAAGATTGGAGGACCTTCCAGTGCATATTTAAGGAACTTGCAAAGACTCCAAGAGGAAGGCGAAGGTTTTGAAATTTGCTTCTTTCTCTGCTCTGCCTTACCGTCAACAGAGTGACACCTTAGGACACACCCTTGTATTTTGGAGTTGGGTGCTGTTGTTTTTCTTCTATAATAGGAACATCTGAATCCCTGTGTTAAAATACCGTTTCAATAAAATACAGCATTTGGCGTTTCCTAATCATCATGAGTTTTCCATCCATACATGTATGTTGTGGGAACAAGAGAGAGAGTTTAATTCTTGACACAGCTTACAGTGGGTACCTGGTTTACGCTGAGAAAACAACCAACCTTTAATTGTTTTAAGTATGGTAACCTACCCTGGAACCTTAGGGTGAAGAGCAGGCTAGTCATCATCATTGACAACTATAGATTGCAGGTGTTTTTTGTTCTGCTATGTTACTTTGAGTTACTTCTGTCTATTACTCAGTGCCACTTTGAAGCCCATCAAGAGGAAGGGATGGTGATTTCTCATATGGCTGTCGCAGGAGTTGGGATCTGGATTGCCTTCACATCGGGATCTACGCTTCGCCTTTTCCACACCGAAACCCTTAAGCATCTCCAAGATGTGAATGTCGCTACCCTGGTTCACAATATGTTGTCAGGTACCAGCGTTATATACATTTATTTAAGGGTGTCCGCTTTGTTCAGGCTGTGGAACTTTTTCAGTGTCCCAGTGCTTCACAGGCATGGCAGCTAAATAGGAAATTTGCATAATCACAATATGTAAGTTACAATAACTTTGAGGGTGTGTGTGTGTAAACATAATTGCATAGTATTCCAGCTTTAAAAGAAAACAAAATGGTGCACAGCCAAGAAAAGTTGGTATTTGAAGATGAAAAGCCAATTTTCATGTCTGCCTGGACCTTGCTATACTTGTTTTTAAGCAATTGCTTATATTTAAGATGTGCCTATAACTATGAAGCAAGCTGTAGAAGAAGTCACCCCAATATCTTTGGCCAAAATGTGGCTACTAAGCCCTTTAAGGTAAAGGTAAAGGATCCCTGGACAGTTAAGTCCAGCCAAATTCGACTTTTGGCTGCAGCACTCATCTCCGCTTTCAGGCCGAGGGCGCTGGTGTTTGTCCATAGACAGCTTTCTGGGTCATGTGGCCAGCATGACTCAACTGCTTCTGGCAGAATGGAACACCGGGATGAAAGCCAGAGCACATGGAAATGCTGTTTACCTTCCCACCCACACCGGTACCTACTTATCGACCCGCACTGGTGTGCTTTTGAACTGCTAGGTTGACAGAAGCTGGGACAGAGCAACGGGAGCTCACTCCATCACGGGGATTCAAACCGCCAGCCTTCCAATTGGCAAGAACAAGTGGCTCAGTGGTTTAGACCACAGTGCCACCCACGTCCCTACTATGCCCTTATTTATGATTGTTAGATGGTTATGGCCCTTCCCCGTACCCCTTTTAGCAAAACTCAATCTTTAGGGGAATTTACATTCAGTTGTTCATTAAATTCAAATTTGCACAGCGTGATTACAGTGAGCAGCCTGCAATTTGTTTATTTTTTGTTTTTATGTTTAAGAGTTTTATGTTTAGTGTTGTTTTTAATAGGGTTACTTGTTTAATTGCTTTTTTAAATATTTCTATTTATATTGTGTGTTTTAGTTGTATCCATTTTAATTTATGCTGTGAGCCACCCTGAGTCCTGCCATGGGATGAAGGTGGGAGATAAATAAATAGAATGACCTGGAAACAGACAGACATTTTCAAAGCAATTCCTGAGTGTGTCCTTTTCCTGTAAACGTGAAAGTAGATAGTAGGGAGTTGGGTGTGGATTTTGCCCTTAACTAGTCTCAAATATAGTAAAATATCCCCATCCACTGCCAGCCCTTCTGTCTCACCAACAGCTTTATTAGGTCCAAAATGCCCTGTGTTTTGAGTTTAATAAAGCTATGTTTGGGGTCTCTCCCCCCCCCAGTTTTTCTAATAGCCATGTCTAACTTTGTTTCATACTCACACATAAGCTTGTTCTGAGTTCAGAAAGGGTTTCCATTCAGTTTGCCACCATTGTGGAAAAAGAATCAATGTTTTGTAGTGTTAGGGACAAACTGTATTTCCCCTTCCTCTCCCCCCACCTTCTATGCTTGGTAGTAACTATTTTGTGTGTTTTTAATGGAGGGAGAAAAAGCTAACTGGAAAATATTTAGTCTTAGCTGCAATTGCCATGGAAATAAAACAAGATGATGTAAACTGTGCTTTTCTGTTGAAGAGCTTGAGTTAATTATATATATGTATGTGCCCTGGTGTCATTACCATAACATTTCAGCTGCTTTTATTTTATCCGAAGAATTTTTCCTCTCCTTATAAGCAAACAGCCGAAGTTTCAATAGAGTTCTTAGAATCGCGATTGATGCTTGAGACAAATGTGTTATACTTGAGAAAAGGAATCATTTTAACATTTAAAATGAGTACACTGGGTATCGCTTTTTTGCATTGGTGTTTATTGCTCTGTCTGGGATCCTATGTACATATTTTATTTGCTAAAGCTGAGGTATGACTGGGAACGCTTTAGCAGAAGGTCAATTTCATAAAGCAACAGGATAATGATGTACATGTATGCACAAACACACAGGGAGTTTCATGCTGAAAATGAAAGTGCGGAACGAAAACTTCTGAGAACGAAATCCTTTTAAAGAATTTACAGAAAATATTTTGGGGGTGGGGGCACAAAACTGATGTCAGGATAAATCAATACTTTGAGTCAGATTGTAGCAACACTGTAAACCCCAAATAACCAGCTTCCTGGTGATTCCTTTTCATATTCCTTCTCTTTTACTTTAGACAATTTATATCTGAAATAATCATTGTGCCGTTAATGGGCTTGTTGGTTATAACTTACCTTGAGGAAAGGGGGCACAGAAAGAAACGGGCTGAAAACAAGGCCTCATAATTGTGCCCCTCCAGCTTTCTGAACTGAAATGGTTTCCCTAGTAGCACACCTTTTTTTGTTTTTAATTTTAAAAAAACACCTCCTATAATGCAGGCCGATATTCCATTTTTCTTTTATGGGTCCCACATCCCCTTATATTACGACCATCATATTAAAGTCTGCCTTGAAAGGCTTCTAAATTAAAACTCTTGTTCCTTCAATACTCTGTTGCTGTACTGAACACCTAGAGGGGAGGGAAGCTGTTGCTAGGTAGCAGCAGGCGGGCACTGCTTGACATGTATGTGTCATGGACCGCACTTTAAAAATCCCTGCGCTAGAACAGTGCAGAAATCGGACCTCTCCTATAGCCTCATCTTGCAGGGATGGGGAGAAAAAGAAACTACCCATCCTATTAACAGGCTAGTGTTATAAATGTGTGTTGCTCACTTTGAGAAATAGATGGCTGTTATGTGTTGGAACGGTCAGATTTAGCGGTGATACTCATCTTCTATAGTTGTAGTCTGTATTAAAAAGCAGCAGGATTTCCCTCGATTCTTCCAAAGAGTTTATACCTTCTATAAAGGGGTGCGGGGAAACCCTTTGCATTATTCTCTTCTGGGGGTCTTCATGCCACTGGTGGGCATGTCTAGAAGCAAAAGTTGGAAGAGCAGTCAATGTGATTCTTGTCTTTTATATAGGAAACCTCATTCCTCCATAGGTTCCTACACATCACCACAGAAAACCCAGTTTTTCTGCCCGGACACTGAAGTCCAGTGCCGAGGGCTTTCTGGCAGTTCCCTCACTGCGAGAAGTGAAGTTACAGGGAACCAGGCAGAGGGCCTTCTTGGTAGTGGCGCCTGCCCTCTGGAACGCCCTCCCATCAGATGTCAAAGAAATAAACAACTATCTGACTTTTAGAAGACATCTGAAGGCAGCCCTGTTTAGAGAAGCTTTTAATATTTGTTGAATTATTGTTTTTTAATATATTTTGCTGGAAGCCATCCAGAGTGGCTGGGGAAACCCAGCCGGATAGGTGGGGTACTAATAATAATAATAATAATAATAATTTATTGTTTATACCCCACCCATCTGGCTGCGTTTCCCCAGCCACTCTGGGTGGCTTCCAATCGAGTGTTAAAAACAATACAGCATTAAATAATAATAATAATAATAATAATAATAATAATAATAATAATAATAAATTCAAACAAACAAACAAACAAAAGCCATTAGTGCAGTTCAAGGCCGTGTTCCAGCCAGGCAAAAACACTCCAGGAAGGGAACAAAGGAGAGCTGGTGAGGGCAGTGTGGTGTGGGGCCTGGGGAAGAGTCCCAAAAGCCAAGATGGAGAGGCCTTGGGCCTGGCACTCCTACTCTATAGGGGATGTCTGACGGGATTAAGAAGATCCAGCTTTGTATTTTTAGGTGAGAACCCATGTTAAAATAAACTTAGTCCTTCCGGTTTGGTCAGTCGCTTCTCCCTCTGAACGCCTGAGCAGGGTCAATAACGCAAAACAGGTGCTTCGAAGTAATCTTAAGTACGCACATTGCTCCTAATGTGATACTTGCATTCATTTTATCCACATGCCTTTCCTGTTCATATAGAAAGGAGATTTGATTTTACAATTTTTGCATTCAAAGGAGCACTAGGGAAAGGAGAGCAAAATCTTCTTCCCTCTCCCACTTTACTCTGCTTTGCTCTGTTGCTTTAACCAATTTCCTCTGAACTGGAGTCCTTTCCAGTATCTGAACTGGGGCAAGAAAGAACTGTTTGAAGCAAGGGGTAGCTAATCTTGAGGCCCTCCAGATGTTGTTGAACTTACAATTCTCATCAGCAACAGGTGGTAGCAGTTAATCCAACAACATCTGGAGGGCCTCAAAATAAGCCACCCTTGACCTAAAGCAACAAGGCTGCTGCAGGAAGGTTGATAGAGATGGTGGATTAGGCTCTCTCCTGCTGGCATGCTCATTTTCACTGAAAATTTGAGAACCCACTCTGTCCCTGTGTTTGCATGTGAGCAGGGCAAACAGTTGCCTCATCAGGTTAGTTTAGCTCTCTGTGCTAGTGGCGGCATGCTCTGTTTCACTAGCACAGTGTTTCACAAACTTGGGTCTCTGTTTTTGGACTGCAATTCCTATCATCCCTGTCCACTGATCTTGCTAGCTAGGGATGAAGGGAATTGTAGTCCTCTCTGTGCTAGTGGCGGCATGCCCTGTTTCACTAGCACAGTGTTTCACAAACTTGGGTCTCTGTTTTTGGACTGCAATTCCTATCATCCCTGTCCACTGATCTTGCTAGCTAGGGATGAAGGGAATTGTAGTCCAAAAACAGCTGGAGACACACGTTTGAGAGACACTGCGCTCATCAGATTATCTGTTTAGTAATATATTTGTAAACCTCCAGCTAGTGTAGCCAACAGGCTAAAAATTATAGCTGTAAACGTGTCACCAATATCTTCCTATATTGTGAGAGAAACATGCAGCGGCAGTGTCTGTGAGCTTAGTTTTTTATTGTCATAAATGCCTGTTGCTCTGCAGGGGGAGAATATTTCATTGAGGTAAAAAGGTAAAGGTACCCCTGCCCATACGGGCCAGTCTTGACAGACTCTGGGGTTGTGCGCCCATCTCACTCAAGAGGCCAGGGGCCAGCGCTGTCCGGAGACACTTCCGGGTCACGTGGCCAGCGTGACAAAGCTGCATCTGGCGAGCCAGCGCAG